GAGTTATATAGCCTCTGCATATAATCAGTTGGTCATGTATTTGTGGGTGTGGGTGAGAGAGAGTTATATAGCCTCTGTATATAATCAGTTGGTCATGTATTTGTGGTTGTGGGTGAGAGAGAGTTCTATAGCCTCTGCATATAATCATTTAGTCATGTATTTGTGGGTGTGGGTGAGAGAAAGTACTATAGCCTCTGCATATAATCAGTTGGTCATTTATTTGTGGGTGTGGTCTCAGTGAATTCTATAGCCTCTGTATATAGTGAGTTGGTCATGTATTTGAATCCTTAAAACCTTAAAACTCTTAAAACTCTTAAAGAAACAACTCTCTTATTAGCATCCCCAAGGGTACAGTGTGTACTATATAGTCGTGTATACTGTGATCTAGACTTTATTGAGAAGAGCCTTGTATCGTTGCTAACCTACCGGGGAAGCGCCGCTCAGCTTCAATGGATGGATACACTTAAACTACTGGTATATAGACTGCTAAGCTATGTTATCACCAGTATACTCATATAATATCATATGGCCTGATATATACATTGATACATATACACTAGTATATATTTATATATATATAGATATATTTATATATACTATTATACTACTATATATAATCTATTCATGTATATGTATGTACGTATGTATGTATATGTATGTATGCGTACGTATGTGTATGTATATGTATGTATGCGTATGTATATGTATGTATGTATTTTTGTATGTATATGTATATACCATACTATAGCGACACTCAATATCCCCGAAAAAATACCCCAAATACATTCGGCGTGTGAAGCATCTCACACAGATCACTCTATCATCAATGTAACAATCCACCCCGACAGGGAAGGCCACGGTGAAACTGGAGTCCATTAAGATGCAGATGTTATTCTCTAACGCACATCCGGAAGAGCTCATAGATTTCCTGCAGGAGTTAATAGCCGCGTACAAAGGATCGACCCCGCCGCGTAAACGTTTACGGCCACTGGTAGACGCTGACGGCAATGTATGTGATGAAATGTAGTACATGCGCACCTACTCGAGACATACGAACGTACCTACATGAATATATATATACATATATATATATGCATGTGAGGCATAATACGTACTTACTCACACATATATATAGGGGCGGTGTATGTATTTATACTTGTTTTAGGATTTAGGGTTTTTTACAGTTACTGCCCATAAGAATAGTGTGCAAATGGCATATTGCGGCTGAGGATTCTTGTATACGCAGACGGCAATGTAAGTGCGTATATTGCAGTACGTGGATATCTTTATACAATCGTGCATCTATACATGAGTATCCGAAATAACTCTGTTTCCATGGTAACCCCCCCCCCCCCCCCCCCAAAAAAAAAAGAACTGCGCAAGTGCCTGTTATCTTGGACGAACGGTTTTGTTAAAATAATTCTTTGAAGTAGCATACATACCCATGGGCCCAGTTCTTTATCTGCCAATCCAATGCTACACAATCACTCAATCCCACACACTCACTCAATCCCACACACTCACTCACTCACTCAATCCCACACACCCCACATACTCACTCAATCCCACACACGTTACCTACAGGTTCCGTCTCCATTGAAGCGTCTCAAGTCAGCAAAGGTAGAACACGCCGCACACTCACCGAACACCCTCGAAAAGCTTACGAGAGATCTGTCAGACGAACAAATGGCTGTAAGTGTATATATACATATATATATATATGTGTGTGTGTGTGTGTGTGACTGTGTGTGTGTAGAGGTAGTAGTATACTATAGCCACACTCACCCAACACCCTCGAAAAGCTTACGAGAGATCTGTCAGACGAACAAATGGATGTAAGTGTATATATATATGTGTGTGTGTGTGACTGTGCGACTGTGTGTGTGTAGTGGTAGTAGTATACTATAGCCACACTCACCCAACACCCTCGAAAAGACTTACGAGAGATCTGTCAGACGAACAAATGGCTGTAAGTGTGTGACTGTGTGTGTGTAGCGGTAGAAGTATACTATGCTCACATACACTACATGGTGTGCATTAAGTCTATGCACCTGCCTTGTAGGTATCATAACATATGTGTGTTATGTGCAGTGATAGTAGTTTAAGTTTACTATGCTCACACATACTACATGGTGTGCATTACGTCTATGCACCTGTCTTGTAGGTATCATAACATATGTGTGTTATGTGCAGTGATAGTAGTTTAAGTTTACTATGCTCACACACAATATATGGTGTGCATTACGTCTATGCACCTGCCTTGTAGGTATCATAACATACGTGTGTTATGTGCAGTGATAGTAGTTGAAGTTTACTATGCTCACACACACTACATGGTGTACATTGAGTCTATGCACCTGCCTAGTAGGGGTGCCTGTGTGAGGTATGTCTTGTGTGCTATCTTTAGACCGCCAGGGACGTCTGGGGCTGACAGTCCTTCTGTAACACACCACATATCTATGAGTTGTATGCACACACACCCATGCCACCCACAGATCTTCCAAGACCAAGTGATCTACTTAAGTAAACGTCCTCCTGTAACACACCACATCTTTATGAGTTGTATGCACACACCCATGTCTACTACGCATTTGTCCCCTGTGTGTTCATGTGCTGTAGGTGTTAATGCGTTGTATGCACACACCCATGCCACACATAGATCTTCCAGATGGTGCAGCAGGGCAAGAGCGTCTTCTTCACCGGAGGTGCAGGCACAGGCAAATCGTTTTTGTTCAAACGATTGGTACGCTCACTCGACCCCAACACGTCTGTGGCCACAGCCTCAACCGGTGCAGCCAGCCACAACATAGGAGGGGTGACGCTACACTCCTTCTCGGGTAGGTAGCAAAGGTAGATGTATATTATTATTATTATTATTATTATTATTATATTATATCTATATTTATATATTATATTATATTATATTATTATATTATATTATATATGTATGTATCTATGTATCTATGTATCTATGTATCTATGTATCTATGTATCTATGCGAGAAAGGTGCACGTCTGCACTGCATGGTCTGCCATGTGCTATCAGAAGGGTGTGTGCACACGTTTTAGGGCTTTTCAAATGGTGTGCACAGTGTAGGGTTTGTTGAGTGAACACGTTCTACGCATTCCAGAGCCGGTTTGTGGACAAGTGATAGTAGCCAATGGGATTGATCTAGCACTCCTCTGCACCTCCAAATATGGTCTGTGTATGTGGTTGTGTCTCTAGAGCCACATTAGCCACATGACTGTCGACTTTCTGTATGTTTTACAATATTAGGATTTGTATGTTTTGTATTATTAGAATTTGTACGTTTTGTATTATTAGGATTTGTATGTTTTGTATTATTAGGATTTGTATGTTTTGTATTATTACGATTTGTATGTTTTGTATTATTAGGATTTGTATGTTTAGCAATATTAGGATTTGTATGCTTTGCAATATTACGATTTGTTTGTTTTGCAATAATTGGATTTGTATGTCTTGCAATATTAGGATTGTATGTTTTGCAATATTAGAATTTGTATGTTTTGCAATATTAGGATTTGTATGTCTTGCAATATTAGGATTTGTATGTTTTGCAGTACTAAGGTTTGTATGTCTTGCAATATTAGGATTTGTATGTTTTGCAATAATTGGATTTGTATGTCTTGCAATATTAGGATTTGTATGTTTTGCAATATTAGGATTCGTATGTTTTGTATTATTAGGATTTATATGTTTAACAGTATTAGGATTTACATGTTTAACAGTATTAGGATTTGTATGTTTTGCAATATTAGGATTTGTATGTTTAGCAATATTTGGATTTGTATATTTTACAAAATTAGGATTTGTATGTTTTGCAATATTAGGATTTGTATGTTTTGCAATACTAGGATTTGTTTTACAATATTGGGATTTTTATGTTTTGCAATATTAGGAATCGTATGTCTTGCAATATTAGGATTTGTTTGTTTTACAATATTGGGACTTGTATGTTTTGCAATAATAAGATTTCTTTGTTTACAAGATTAGGATTTATGGAATGTCCACACTTTTGGCATTGGCAAATTCCCATGTGTCTGTCCACTCACCTGCGTGACAACATCACTCTCTCGTTGCACCTGTGAAATCAGGAATCTTGTCCGGTGATATGACATTTGCGCAGGCTGTGAAAGCCGCCAAACGCAAAATCGGGAATTGGAAACGGTGCAAAACGCTTTTAATTGATGAGGGTGAGTGACTGCTCTATCCTGTCGCCTGAATTAGGCCAATCCTGAAATGCGATACATGCAATGCAATGTACATTTGTCTGGGGGGGGGGATCAGTGGTTGAGTTCGTGGGTGAGGGGTCATTTGTAGATATATATAGGGATGTACACATGATGTATGTATACACACATGTATATCTATATCTATATTGATATGTATATCATTATTATTCTTACTATTGTAATTATATTGTATATATATATATGTGTGTGTGTGTGTGTGTGAATGTATATGCATGTATGTATGTATGTATGTATGTATGTATATGAGTATGAATATTTTTGGAACATCCACACCATGTAGTATGCAGTGGCACAGATACATATCCACATAAATGCACATCATTGGAGACCTTGACGCAAGCACATCCACAACCCCTCGACTTTTGTCCACTTTTCTACACCTCGCGTATTCGCTCCCCCCACACGCACATATCCTTTTGTATTGTTTTGTTTCCATTTTGTTTGTTTTTAGTACACTTATCTCTGTGTATTCGTACAGTTTCGATGATTGACGGGGAGTATCTGGACTTGCTCGATGCGGTGGCCAGGTCTGTGAAGAACTCTACTCAGCCCTTCGGAGGATTACAGGTACACACCACTTGCGCTACAGTACAGACTAATGTTTTACCAGTGTCCCCCCTAGGCGTTTTGTTGAATGTTTTAATCTGTGGGGTCTGGTGGTGGTGCGTGTGTGTGTGTGTGTGTATGCGTATACATATTTATATATAAATATATGTATATACGTGTGTGAGAGAGTGTGTGTGTATATGTGTGTGTGTATGTATATGTGTATGTATATGTATATTTTTTATGTTTATGTATATGTACATATATTTCTGCTTTATGAATCAAATAACTAATGCAAATCCCAGACAGCTATCACATTCAGCACCACGCGATACTTCAAACACTACATCCTCAAACTCTACATCTTTAAACCCTTGCATCTCATGAGTTCTCCAACCAACTGCGTAGAGTCTTGTGTGAGTTGGTGAGTTGGTGAGGGTGCACCTGTTGGCTGGAAATGCCCATACACCGTACAGTAAAGAGTCTATAACACATACATACACATATATACACATACACATATATACACACATACACATACACATATACACACATACACATACACGCATACACATACACGCATACACATACACGCATATACACACATACACACATACACACATATATACACACATATATACACACATACACATATACGCACATACAGCTACACACATACACATAGACACATAAACACACATACACACATACACATACACACATCTATACACACATACACATATACACATACATCTACACACATATACGCACATACATCTACACATACACATATACGCATATACATCTACACATACACATATACACACATACACACATATACACACATATACATATATACACATACACACATATACACATACACATATATATACATACACATACATACATATACACACACATACTCATACGCACACACATACACACACATATATATATATATATATATATACGCGCAGACACACTACGTTTATGGTGATCGCTTTCACTCGACTCACACTCTAGGTACTGATGGGTCGTAGTAAGTGCTTATCAGTTTTGGGGTTTAGAAGTATAACCCTAGAATCCTATGTATTACTGCAAGTTACAACACGTGTGTATAAACTAACTGCACTACACCCCATATCCCAGCCTTTCCTCAACATCCACTACACCCCACATCCCAGCCTTTCCTTAACATATGTACCTGCACCCATTTCCAATTCGCAGGTGATCATATGCGGAGACTTCCTACAGCTGCCTCCTGTCTGCAAAAATAGGGACGTTCCCAAAAAATTTGCGTTTGAGGCCGAATGCTGGCCCAAATTAGTGCCGCACTGCTTTGAGCTGCGGCGGATATACCGACAGAAAGACGACCATCAGCTCATACGCGTGCTGCGCCTGATACGTGTGGGCGTGTGCAATGAAGAGGTGCAGAAGGTGCTGCGAAGCACGCAAACAAACAACAAGAGCATAGCCAGTGGTAGGTGGTGTATGTGTGTGTGTGTTTATGCATGTAAATGCGTTTATGTGGGCATGTGGGCGTGTGCAATGAAGAGGTGCAGAAGTTGCTGCGAAGCACGCAACAAACAACAAGAGCATAGCCAGTGGTAGGTGGTGTATGTGTGTGTGTGTTTATGCATGTAAATGCGTTTATGTGGGCATGTGGGCGTGTGCAATGAAGAGGTGCAGAAGGTGCTGCGAAGCACGCAAACAAACAACAAGAGCATAGTCAGTGGTATGTGTGTGTGTGTGTGTGTAGGCATGTAAATGCGTTTATATGTGTGTGTGTATCTATGTATGTATCTATCTATGTGTGTGCGTGTTTGTATGTATCTATGTGTGTGTGTGTATCTATATATGCATCTATGTATGTGTGTGCGTGTTTGTATTTATCTATATGTGTGTATGTATCTATATATGCATCCATGTATGTGTGTGCGTGTTTGTATTTATCTATATGTGTGTATGTACCTATATATGCATCCATGTATGTGTGTTCGTGTTTGTATGTATCTATGTGTTTGTGAGTATCTATGTATCGATACCTTCTAGTGAGCTACAATGGAAGTGTTCTAGTGTAGTACCCGAGGGCTTTGCGTTTCCACAGAGTGACAGTCGTGTGCACTAGTAGATGCGCATGGGAATATGAACGGGATGAAGTGTATACCAGAGAAGTACGTAAGGGGTGTGTTCGTATCGTCTGTGTCTGTGGGTGCAGCTCGTGTACTGAAGGGCCTGCTCCATCCCCATCTCTCCCTGGCAGATCCAAAACCCTAACCCCCTAAAACCCTAAAACCCTACATTTCTCGGTAGACCTGAAGCCCACCGAGCTGTGCACGCACGTGGCCGAGGTCGAGGACAAGAACGAGAAGTTCCTGACTGACCTCAGTGGCGAAGAAGTGGCGTTCACTGCCCTGGACAACTACTACACGGAAGGGGACAGGGCTGCCCTGACCTCACAATTGGACCATTTATGCCCTGCCCCCACGGCCCTGGTCCTAAAATTGGGGGCGCAGGTGATGATGTGCCGGAATGTGGACTTCAAGGTAGCGCTGTCGTGGTGTGTGTGTCAGGTATAGGTTGTGCGACACTGGTATGTGGGCTTTATAAGTAGCTCAGTGCCAAAGTATATATATGACATGTGTGTTGTGTATATATGACATATTTGTTGTATGTATATGACATGTGTTGCATATATATATCATATGTTGTATATATATGGCACATGTGTTGTGTATATATGACAATATGTGGTGTATGTATATGACTTATGTGTTGTATATATATGACATATGTGTTGTATATGATGACATATGTGTTGTATGTATATGACATATATGTTTATATGCACATGACATGTGTTGTATATACATAACATATGTGCGCACGGATTTAGCATGTGCATATACAAACACACCCATATATACCAGTACACCTAAAGTGGTCTGGGGTATTCTGTACTGCTCTGGGTATCTCCTGTATATATGTGTAGGTAGACCCATTCTGCACTCGCTGTCCTACTGGTTGACTAGACCTACCTATCGTTATAACACTTCATTGGGTATCTACAGTACATACGGGAAGTACACCTTGACATTGTCGAGACCAAGTCACTATTACGTTCGTTGGTGTTACCACCACATTCACTACTGCACGCGGTCATTACAGTCGGCGCAGACTTTAACGTTGGTAGGTTTTAGGGTTGTAAGGTCGTTGGTGGTGCTCTTCAGGTCCAGATTAAAAGGGCGCTGATTGTGTGTGTCGCAGATATGCCTTGGGCAGTTCTCCCGTAACTCTCTCCACTGCCCACTGCACACAAGACCATTGCTCCGTCTACCGGTGGGTGTGGGGTTGGGGGGAGACTCGTGCCGTGTACGTGGGTTTTTTATATATTTATATATATACCCTAAACCCTAAAACTAAACCTAAAACCCTTGTTTATCTGTGCATGCTATCATCATACGCACCCTACATATCCACCTCATCACCTGTGCATGTGAGACGGGGCTGGTTAACGGTGCTCGGGGTGTTGTGGTGGGCTTTAATCCTTGTTTATCTGTGCATGTACTTATCTTATCTACAGGCGGGGCTGGCTAACGGTGCTCGGGGTGTTGTGGTGGGCTTAAATCCTTGTTTATCTGATCATACGCACCTTGCATACCCACCTCATCACCTGTGCATGTGCTTACCTACAGGCGGGGCTGGTTAACGGGGCTCGGGGTGTTGTGGTGGGCTTTAATACCACAGCCGATCGCTTTGGTGTGCGGTTGCCCATTGTGCGCTTCGCCAGCGGTGCCGAGAAAGTGGTCCACTCAGAGACATGGGCACACAAGGTGTTTGGGCGGGAGGTGGCTGCAAGGACTCAGGTGTGTGTATGTGCCAGGGTGTATTAAACTCTAAACGCTTGTATATATATACTTGTATGACTCGTATACATATATATATATATGTATATATATAAGTGTGTGTTGTGTTGTGTTGGATTGGCTGACAACGATCTCTGGGTGCTCTAAATCACTAACTGTAGCGAGTGTGTGGAAAAAGGACTTCAGAGTATCTGCTTCCTTTGTAGTCCTACAAGGCTGGAGACACATTCTATTCAGTTTAGGGTCTAGGGTCAAACCACGCGTTCCTTATAGAATCCAAGCGAGCATTCTTACCACAAAGTGTCTACCACTCTCCGATGAATCGTGGTGCTCTACTGTTCGGCTGAGCTACAACTAAACAGCTGCTAGCACTGCCGTGTACCGAACTGCGAGCACACGCACGCCGCCAGCCACGGGCTAATCCTCAAGATACTCACACCACTATCCATGAGGGAACAAACCCAATACCCATACAGACAAACTAATGCCCAAACGGAAACGAACTAATACACAAACGGAAACAAACTAATACACAAACGGGAACAAACTAATACATAAACGGAAACAAACTAATACACAAACGGAAACAAACTAATACACAAACGGAAACAATCTCATACACAAACGGAAACAAACTCATACACAAACGGAAACAAACTAATACACAAAAAGAAACAAACTCATACACAAAAGAAACAAACTAATACACTAATGGAAACAAACTAATACACATACGGAAACAAACTAATACACAAAGAGAAACAAACTCATACACAAACGGGAACAAACTAATACACAAACGGAAACAAACTCATACACAAACGGAAACAAACTAGTACACAAACGGAAACAAACTAATACACAAACGGAAACTAACTAATACACAAACGGAAACAAACTAATACATAATCGGAAACAACAGGTGCCGCTGAGACTCTCCTGGGCCATCAGTGTGCACAAGTCGCAGGGCATGACGATCGACCTCGTCAATGTCAACATCTCCAAAGTCTTTGGTACGTTTTCCGATGTTGAATCTTGGGTGGTGCAAAGCCCAGTGATATTGATGGCATCTAGTTGTCCTGACCTGACGTTAGTGATATACCAGAACGACAACTTGAGTGTGACCCGAAAATCAGTGATTAAATTGTACTGTATTTATATATATATTTAAATATATATATATATTTCTATTTCTATTATATTTATATAATATATATATATTCTCCTACTTAACCCGACTGGACATTGCAATAGTTCAGAATGTCACCAGAAGTGTGACCCGGAATCAGCTATTCAATCGTATTGTATTGTACTCCTAATTAACGTGACTTTTCATTCGTTATCCTCCAGAATTCGGCCAGGCATACGTAGCACTATCGCGAGCTCGTACGCTCGAGGGACTCAAAGTGACGGGATTTACAGCAGCCAACATCAGAGCAAACCCCAAGGCACTGCAGTTCTACAAGAAACTCAGACAAGCTACCAAACTAGCAGAGACGCAGAAGGAAAACGTAAATAAATAAATAGTAGTATAATGTAATTGGAGGTGCAAAAGGAAAATGTAGATAAATGATAATAGTATAGTGTAGCTGGACCAACATCAGAGCACACCCCAAGGTACTGCAGTTCTACAAGAAAATCAGACAGGCTACCCAACTAGCAGAGGCGCAGAAGGAAAACGTAAATTAATAAATAACAGTAAAGTGTATATAAAAATAATTCAGAGCACACCCCAAGGCACTGCAGTTCTACAAGAAACTCAGACAGGCTACCCAACTAGCAGAGGCGCAGAAGGAAACGTAAATAAATAAATAATAGTATAGTGTCATTGGAGGTGCACACGTCCTTTGCAGAAGGAAAAACTTAAATAAATCAAATAGCATGATTGGAGAAGCACGCGTAGTACCTATACACGTATGGGCAACCGATGATACTAACAAGTTCTAAACCCAAGGTGTGTAAACGCTAGACTACAAACCTCTGGTATATACTTAGTCTTATCAAGAGCCGAACGCGAGACAAAATCAGTAAAAAGGCTTTAGACCAGAGCACAGACTGAGTAAGCTTTACTCATTTACGTAATAATGGTCTAGAGTTTGTGTCTCGTGTCGTTCTCACATCTACATCCATTGTACCGAACTTCTGTTCTCCTGTCACGTGGCCTATCTGTACGGTAGCATGAGGCCAAGACCAGTAGATAGTCAGCCGACCTTGACCCACGTTGATGATAGGGAACGGGCCTTATACTTCCTTATGCTTGCAGAATACCTTGACCTCTTAGCCGCTCCCCTACTAGAGTGTACGCGTGTACTCGATATCTGGTATGTTCTTGGCTCGCCTTGTGACCGATGTGGTGCTGTATGCGATGGTCTGGTGTTGCTCATTTCGTCTCGGAAGTAGTTCTCGCAGTATCACTTGGACCTTATCAACCCCAATCTCACCTTATAAACCCTAATCTCACATTATAAACCCTAATCGCACCTTATAAGCCCTCAATCGCACCTTATAAACCCTCATCGTGACTTTTAGGGGTTTGCAGGGTTTTAGGGTTTAGTGACGCATTGCACAGACCTGTAAACATCCTGCCACCACTCGACTATCACAGATAGTGCGTTTTTGGATTGCTTTGCACGTCCCAGCCATAGAATATACTTGAATGGTGGGCCTATGGTAGGTAATAGATGAGAGCAACGGCTCAATGCCATACGCATACGCATTCGCTACCGTCAAATGTCAAACTGTGCTCCCCAGTAAGGTAGTCATACGTCATCTCCGATGTGTTCATAATAGCTATGAATTGGGATGTGTTTATGATAGTTATGAATTGGGTGTGTTTATGATAGCTATGAATTGATGTGTTCATAATAGCTATAAATGGATGTGTTCATGATAGCTATGAATTGATGTGTTCACAATAGCTATGGATTGATGTGTTCATAATGGAAGAACTCTGTTGCAACAGAGTTCTTGGGGTGTGTTGTAGATATGTACACAAACTCGACTCGTCCAGATGTGGCCACGTATGTTCGTTTCAGCGAATACACGATTGTGCGCGAGGCTCGTAGACACCGTACGGGCGGTGTTTTGAAGTTCGGAACCTACTGAGCCGTTTGAACGTATATCTATAGGCGACATACGGTTGTTAAGACTATCGGAGGGTCGAACGTATCCCCTAGACTGGAAATCCTGTAGAAGAATGCGGTAGGTAAGAATGAGGTAAGAATGAGGTAGGTAAGAATGAGGTAGGTAAGAATGAGGTAGGTAAGAATGAGGTAGGTAAGAACCCGAACAATAAATGTAGCGCATCAGATACTAATCCATCGAGCACGGGAGATTCATCCTCTGTTCTATAGATTTGTGTTGTCCTAGAAAGCACTTTCTCATACGTAACTACAAATCTGAGAGACTCTATGAAAAATGGGGAGGGAAACATAACAAGGGAAAGCGTGAACCAGATACGGACGGAATCAGGCGAGAGACTTTGAACTCGCGCCGGGTGTACATAACAATAGATATCTCCCTAGTGCTGGGTACTGACATACTGGCGTAAACTTGGCTAAGAATAGATCGCTGCACTGTGTAGTAAACTCTATAATGTCTTCACAATTTTACATCTTGAAGCAACCGACTTTAAATAGCTTCGGAAATTCTGAACGTCTTTTTTTCGAAAGCACTACAGACCTCAGAATTTACAAAGCTACCAAAAGACAGGTACTCCAAGATGGAAAATTGCGAAGATATTATAAAGTTTACTACGCGATGTAGCGATCTATTCTTAGCCAAGTGTATGCCAGTATGTCAGTACCTAGCAGCACTAGTGAGGTATCTATTATTTTCCACTGACATAAACCATCACATCACAGCATAACCCAACAGGCGCCATAGGGCTCATATCAGATAAAACCCTTGAACTTGCTACAGGTACTACGCACGATGTAATACATGTGCTACCATTTAGTTAGAAACAGTATGTTTTGGTCCAGTATACAGTCGAATACAGGTAGCCGTATTGGGCTTATTTGTGGCGTCGATTTACAACTATAGGTCTATCGTTGATTGTGTATGTTTGAAACTTGCACATTTCCATAGAGCAAGTGAACGGGAGAGTTGAATTCGTGGAATTCTTATGCCTTCCAGAGATTCATGAGCAGTTGAAACTTATAACTATTGAACCCTCAGACAACATACTATATAATTATTTATACAACAATCGACTACAGAGCTGCGCTACATTTACTTTAACTCTTGAGGTGTCGCATATGTGGCACCACAAGACAGGGGACAATTCGTATTGAAAGTCTAGAATGAACGAACATCACCGTGCATATTCGAATAACTAAGAAATAACAGCCTGACTCGGATTCTAATATATATATATATATATATATATATATATATATATATATATATATATGTATATCATATATATATATGTATGTATGTGTGTATGTAGTATATACATATATGTATATATATATGTGCGTGTGTGTGTTGTGTGT